GTGCACAGAACAACAATAGCACTTAACGCCATAAATGCCCCAATAACTTGTGGCCTAAACCGAAAGCGCCCCTGTGAGAGAACTATTCCAGTAGCGATGCACCTGTCCAAGGCGTTCGACACTGTCAGTCATTTCAACGCTGCTAGAAGACTTAGAGGCCTCCTCACTCCCACGGAGACTCAAAGGGTGGTCGGCGAATTATCTGAGTGGTCGACACTCGTCAGTAATATTTAGGGACAAAACCAGCTAACTAAGAAAAATTAAACAAGGGGTAACACAGGGTGGTGTCCTAGCCCCACTATTGTTTAATTATTATATTTTAAAGCTCCCTCAACCACCAGAGGGTGTCAATATTGTCTCTTATGCCGACGATTGTTCGATCATGGCGTCTGGGAATGGAGTTGATGACTTGTGCTCGAAAGTAATCGGTTATCTCGCCGAACGTTCTCGCTTCTCCATTGAAAGGAGCCTTGCCCTATCCCCTGCGAAATCCTCGGCAACCCTATTCACCACCTGGACGAGGGAGGTCAGACTGCAGCAACTGGGTATTCACGTTGATGGCGTAACAATACCGACGGTGAATAACCCGAAAATCCTCGGAATTAAACTCGACAGTCTGCTGAGAGATTTGGATAAAGTTGTACCTGTTTTTGAGAAAAGCCTGGAACAGATGACCCAACAACCGTTATGTACACACAGGCTTCCTTATATAGCTGCGGAAATGTAGTGCGCATATCTTCCCATCCCTCTAATGGTTTGCTTTTCAAAAAAGATGCTGAAGCATAATAAGCTTTGCGCTTCCGATACAAGTACTTTTTTTTCGATACCTACTTGGATCGTAGTAAAAAGTATCGAGTACAAAAATACTTGGTAAATCGAGAAAAGTATCGAGTATGTACTTGGATTTACTTGTATCGATTAATCTCTAGTTGATTATCAAAGAAGATGCTGAAGCATAATGGCGCGTATTCATAGTCCAGCAACTAACAAGTTGCAACTTAAATTTAAGTACCAACTTAAAATTTACCTCTTTTCATGGTCGCATTTCAGACTTCTACGATAGTTTACGATATAGCAAAACGAGTGTGAAAATGTATCGATTTTTCTTTACGATATTTTGGAAAAATTACATTTTTATTAAATTATACCAAGTTTGATCTTCCGTTTATGTAATTTTTATTTTCATTGCATGATTATGCAAAAGAATAAAGTATCTTTTTCTTGTTAATTGTGTGAAATAGCCAGAACAACCGCAGTAATGTGAAGTCGATGTTTATCGAAAGCATGCTGTTACTTACTGTTTACTTTAAAAGAACTAGCGTGAAACTGACTTATTATTTGAGAATTTATATAAATTATTCCAATTATAAAATTGTGATGTAGCTTTATTCGGATTTGTAATACGCATTTAATTTCATCTTCCGATTAAAATGGATCGATCTTTGTAAATTTAAATGGGAGATTATTCAATATTATCAAAATCACCCTCTACCAACTTAATTTTTACATATTTCGTCTGTTTTCCCTTAATTTGACAAAATACTTATTCTTAGTTACGACTTAGTGCAGCTGCAGCCGAAACTAAATTTTAAGTTGGTACTTAGCCAGAAAAGTCGAAACTAAAGCTGGGATCCCACGATTGCCGCAATACCCCAATTATTGCCTCATTTTATGCCCCAATCGTGTGATTTCACAGTACATTGACTCACGCGGCAATAGAGGCCGATATTGTGCTTACTGTGCCCAATCAAATACGGCCCGTGTGCTGCAATCGTGTGATAGCTCGATTGGCAATCATGGGGCAATGAAAATTTCAAAATTGCGGCAATATTTATTGTATTCTTGTACAATACACATCAATATTTATGCTGTTTATTAATAATTTACTTTTTTGCTTCCTTATGTGTCCAAAAATCACTGAAATTAATATCCTTGTTTTCGGAAGCAACATAACTTTTAATTTAATTTGTAGTGAAATTATAATTATTCTTGAAGTCCGATAACGGAATCTTTGCCGCGATATATACCACCACAAGCAAAACTCATACGGGAAGAATACGAAAGGTATTTTATGCCACCAAATGCCGGACTGCCATGACAGTATAAATTTATTAAAAAAAAAAACTTAAAAGTTCAATACAACCCAAGACAAAACAGTAGAACCTCAACATTTTGACCAGTCTTGACTATTTTTCTTCTACTTATTTAATATTCATTATTTTCGTATAAAAGTATAGCTCATTGTCTAACAAAAACTGCATAAATCCGAATTGCAAGCTTTATACAAAAATTATAAAAATTTCTTAAACTTTTGAACACAATCCCACGGTTTACAATTTGGATTTCTAGAAAAAAATGGTTATTTAGTTTTGTAGCTCATTAAAATTTAGTACAATAAGGTGGAGGTTTGAAGTTGCTAAAAGATCCTGTTGATTTTTTATAATTTTCTTAGCTGACGGTATTATGCTCTTTATTCTCTGTAAATTAATTTGTAAACTGCAAAACAAAATTTTTTTTAGAAACTCAAATTAAAAACCATTGAATTGTGATCAAAATTTTAAGAAATGTTTAGAATTTTTGTATAAAGTTTGGAATTTGGACTTATGTGGTTTTTACTAGACAATGAGCTATGGTTTTATAGGAAAAAATTAACATTAAACAACAGAAGAAAAAAGTCAAGACTGATCAAAATGTTAAGCTTTCATTTAAACAAACATAACTCTTTTGTACCAATTTTACTTGTAATGAATAAAAAAAACCTCTACGTAACAAAATTAAAAAGAAAACTGTTGCAACTTGAACTCCCCATAGCACGTTGCAGTTATCGTCGAAAAATAAAAAAAAAAACAATACAATCAGACTTCTAAATAAATGCGTGAGTTTTCGTTGGGCACAAGTTTTTGCTTCTTTGCTTTCAAACAACAACAAATTTGCACAAAATGAGCCCGCAATATACAAAGCAGATGCAATTGAAATATTTTTTTTTATTAAGAATACGCCGTTTTTACACAACAGAGAAAAAAACAGAATTTAGAGGTCAGCGCAACACTTTATGGTCACAATTGCCGCATGCTCGAGCAATCGTGTGATAAGTTTGGGGCAATTGTTGTCACTATATTGCTTTTCGCCAACTTACGGCAATGAGAATTGTATAAAAAGAGGCAACCGTGTGACTGTACAGAATTTCATTGGGACAATTTTTTTATTGTGCTCCAATTCAGCACAATAAAAATTGTTCCAGATTGGTCCATTTGCGGCAATCGTGGGATCTCAGCTTAAGGCGACTATGAATAGCTTTAGTTGTGACTTACAGGTCTATTCTGCACGTTACCGAAGATTTTGTAACCGGAAAATTTTATTACCAAAAAATTTTACCAATTCTTGTCACCACGATTCTAGGAACGTTGGTAATGCAGTTAAAATATTCAGCAATTCAGCTATGATGAATTGTGCAAATTCTGGCATTGCATATTTCACGGGGTAATACTTTGTTACCAGCTTATGAGATGGTAACAAAATTTACCGGTTACAAGAGTACACAGAATGCGAAAAGGGTTTAAAAATTGACAGACACTTTAAGTACCGGTTACAAACTTTTTATTACCAGCGCAGGAATAGACCTGTTAGAATAGTTTCGACTAAGGGCCGGTTGCTCAAAGCCTTGTTAACACTAATCATAGGTTAACATCGTTATCGACGTTTTTGACTCCATGTATATAACACGGTGTCGGTAACGTCGATAACGATGTTTAACCGATGGCTAGTGTCAACCAGGCTTTGAGCAACCGGCCCTTAGTTGAGTACTAAATATGACTATGAATATGCGCCAATAAGTTTTGCGCTTCCGATAAATTCTGAACACATTGTAAACGACGAGTTACGGGCCACAGCTTCCAATTTGTTATCTTCATTACCTAAACGCATTGTCGATGACGACATTATTTTTTGACCGCGACAGCGATATCATGAATATGTATGAGTTTGACATAAAAAAAGATTAAGAACCTTATCTGGTGTCGGAAAAATAGAAATAGATCTAATCTAGCCACAACCACAGACGTCGCGTAGGCGGATCGTCGCCAAAATTATTATCTACATAAGAGTTCGTGTTGCAATAATTTGACAGCTGTGGCATGTCGCTCGTCGTTACTTGGATCGCAGTGAAGAGTATCGAGTAGAAAAATACTTGGGCGCATATTCATAGTCATATTTAGTACTCAACTAAGTCGAAACTATTCTAAGTCACAACTAAAGCTATTCATAGTCGCCTTAGTTTCGACTTTTCTGGCTAAGTACCAACTTAAAATTTAGTTTCGGCTTTAGCTGCAACTAAGTCGTAACTAGGAAGAAGTATTTTATCAAATTAAGGGAAAACTGACGAATTATGTAAAAATTAAGTTGGTAGAGGGTGATTTTGATAATATTGAATAATCTCCCATTAAAATTTACAAAGATCGATCCATTTTAATCGGAAGATGAAATTAAATGCGTATTACAATTCGAATAAAGCTACATCACAAATTTATAATTGGAATAATTTAGATAAATTTTCAAATAATAAGTCAGTTTCACGCTAGTTCTTTTAAAGTAAATTTGTGCATAACATTTAGATAGCTACTATTTGTATGTTTCACAGCATGCTTTCGATAAACATCGACTTCTCATCACTGCGGTTGTTCTGGCTATTTCACACAATTAACAAGAAAATGATACCTTATGCTTTTGCATAATCATGCAATGAAAATAAAAATTACATAAACGGATGATCAAACTTGACATTATTTAATAAAAATGTAATTTTTCCAAAATATCGTAAAGATAAATCGATACATTTTCACACTCGTTTTGCTATATCGTAAACTAAGTGGAAACTACTTAGTAGAAGTCTGAAATGCGACTATGAATAGAGGTAAATTTTAAGTTGGTACTTAAATTTAGTTGCTGGACTATGAATACGCGCCTTGGTAATTTGAGAAAAGTATCGAGTATGTACTTTGAATTACTGGTATCGATGTATCCCTAATTGCTGAGATCGTTTCATCTCAAGTGCGAAGGACGGATATTATAAATTGAAATATTAATTTGAGAAAATATTTGAAGAAATTTGAACAAAATGTTGCGAAAGCAACTTCATGCGCTTTTGAAGCCGTATTATTGGATAAACATTATTTTATCTGTATCGTATGTTGTCGCTAAAAAACTAGTGCCATTATGTACAAGGCTGTTTAACCACCGTGGCGCGGATATGTGCGAATTAGATGGTCGTGAAACAGAGATTTTATTTTTTCTCTTAATTGTGGTTATGGTACGTTCGCGCAAAACTGGAAGCGTAACCATGGTCAATTACCTTTCCGCATCCTTTCTCTATACGAAAGTGGCTAATTTCATTCTATGGGCATACAGCGATTTTCGGTACGGTGTTGTTTTCTTATTACTCAGCATTGTATTAAGTACTCTATTGCCAGAACCATCTTACAGTGGTCCAGAACATATAACCTACTTCCGTAACATGCAAAATTTTGAAGAAGAATTGGTTCGGGATAAACGAATTAACTGGATAGTTTGTTTCTATACTGTGTGGAACCCGAGTTGCGTGAATTTTGCTCCTATTTATGCTGAACTTTCAGCTGAATACAATCTGGATATCTTAAAATTTGGCAAAGTTGATATTGGACGTTTTCCTGACGTGGCACTGAAATATCGAATATCTGACAGCAGTTTCTCACGCCAATTACCCACTGTTATACTCTTTAAGAACGGAACGGAGGTGGAACGAAGGCCATGTGGAGATTCAAGAGGAAAATTGCAAAAGTTTTTTTTTTCATCAGATAATATTCGTGCAGCATTTGCCTTGAACCAGCTCTACAAAGAATGCATCGAAAATCCTATAAAGAAACCTGAGCAAATAATCACCTCCGCAGGGAACGCACCAGTGAAGAAGACACAATAGCTTTGTCATATATAAGATCTAATAATTTATCAAATAAACGCCCAATCAGTATATAATTGCCATTCTATAAAATAAACTAACTAGATACAGTGGCTACACACTTTTTTCACATATTTTTGTTAATTTTGTATAAAAATATAGTAATTCTGTGTGTACTGTTTAGTTATTTTTGCAACTATTTTGTGCTCAAACGCGTGACCCTAATCAAAAAACTTGTACACACACTTGTTGACAAGAGTCTTCGCTTTATTGAAAATAATGCTATATCTGTGCACTATTTTTTTAGTAACCGGTTTGAAATATGCACCCCTATGCTGTATTCCGTCGTAGATTCGATTTTGCTACGAATCGTAAAATTGGTATGCTGCAATCCGGGTTGTCGTATCGTAATTTCGGAATTCGTAGGCCATCTTCGAAATGCATAATGTTGGTATACCTGAATCCGACGGAGCTGTCATTTTTATGTATTTGTGGGAAATTTTCTACGAATTGCAACTCGTGTCGGAGCGAAACAAATTGTTTTAAAATATCAATAAAATAAAGTGTGTAAACGCAAAAATATGTATGTAAGTTAAGGCCCTGGCCCAATGCAGGCTTGCTTTGCGCGCTTTGCTGACTTCAATTTGCTTTGATTTACTTTGAAAACTTGCTTGGCCGAATGGTGGCTTGGAACGCTGTCAAAGTAACCAGCTGTCTGGTTGAAAAGTCAATATCTGTTCCCTTAACGTCAATAATTATTTCCTAGAAAACTCTAAAAAATGTATGAAAAACTTTCAGATTTATTTTTAAATAAATGCGAAATAATGTTTTTATTTAAAATAAATGAGAATAATGATACATACATATCTATATCTACATTTACTAAAAAAACTATAACTTAAAAAAGCGATTTACTTGAAGAAGTTTTTTCCTCTCGTGTAAAATTTGTAAAAGTGGGCTTCGCAACTTTTTACTATAAGATAACGATATGTTAAATATAAATGTGGAAGCAATGGATCATTTTTATTTCATTTCGAATAACCTGCATTTTCTGTTACTTTTTTAAATTAAGTAAGCAACTTTTTGTTTGAATTTATGTATTTTGAAAGGAACATACCTTTTTGTCAAAAGCCTACAAAACGCTTTCAAATAAAACATTTGCCTAATTCAAACTTTGAGGCGCTTAAAGCAAGTGAAGAAAAGCTGCCATTTGGCCAGCCTTTATACGTTTTAGTATATTTCAAATAATTCTTGACACTTCTCGCAGCGAAGAAAGCAAAGCAAGCCTGCATTGGGTCAGCACCTTTAAAGTTTGAATAGAAAAAAAAATGTATTATTAAATGTTTACAAAATTAACAAATCGAAGATCACAACAAATCGCTCGCAATACGAAAAACTGGTGGAATGCATGAGCGAAAGGCCGGACATTGGTCGAGGCTTTGTGAAAGGAGCTAAAGAGGATGTGGTGGAATTTTGGGAAAGCGTTCCAAGAATTAAAGCGGCACAATATCTAGTGAAATGGAGGCCCATAAAAGGAGGGGGCTTACAATTTATCATTTAAACTAAATGGATCAGAACAATCTCCTAGCAATCTACTTTGTATATTAATGCAACTGTTAGCTGTTCTTCCTTCTGGGACATAAGTGCACCGGCCACTGAATCCTTTGTATTCTACTTAATTAAGGAAACGTCATTTCAAATAATGATTAAACTATTTTTTTTTTAAATTACACTATTCAGTTGCCCCTGCAAGAACAGTGACTATCATTTGAGTGGCAAGACTGATAGAAATTTCTGTCACTGGCTACCTACAAGTTTCTATCAAATTCTAAAGTGCAGTGTGAAAAATCTGATGTTTGTGTACATGTGATTTTCCGTCTTCCTCCAACTTATGGCCTTATTTAATGGTCTCTTTTCAACCAACGCAAAATTTGCAAATGTGTTAGTTTCCATCACACAATTCTTGTAGGGTCGATTATATTTATTTCTGTCAAAGCAGCTGATTAGGAACTTCGAATTTCACTATTTTAGTTGGCAACGCCGTTGATAGTTTCGATCGGGTTACAGCATACCAATTTTCGAATTTTCGGAACGGAGCTACGAATTCGTAACTACGAACTTTCGGATTACAGCATACGGGTGATGGTGTTTTTGGAAGTTTCCGAACTGAGCTGTTAAACACAAAAAATATTCACGAAATATCTCTGCAAACGGTGTTCAGCACCTATTATTCACAACACAGAAAGGAGAATTCTACTTAAAGTGTTCCCAATGAGAAAATAGGTAAACACCTTACGAGATAATCCATGTTGTCTTTCAGCTTTTAGTACCAAAATTGTCATCATGACCAATGTCATCTAATGCACAAAATGAACACCTCCGACGAAACATTACGGTCTGTTGGAAAATAACGGGGTACTGTTTAGTACGCGGCCTAACTATTTCGAGGTATTGCGTCCAAAGGGGTGACAAGATCCAAAAAAAAATTTGCACACACTTGTAGCCAAGGGTCTACACATTATTTCAACACCTACTTTTGTAATTTTTGGTCACTAATTTATTTACAAATTGGGTTTTAAATATGCCCTTTTTTGTAAAATTCGGAAGTCAGCGTACATTTATCACTCCTTTTCTCCTTAAAGCAGCCACTTCACCAATATATTTTTATATTCCCCTTCACTTTACACTTTACTCGATTAGTTATAACTTTCTTTATGACTTCAATATTAACCAATTAATCACAGTTCATTAAATAATGCATATGCAAATTAAATGGCGGAGTTCAGCTGTCAAACTCCAAAATATGAAAAAGAATGAGCATTAAAAATATAAACCTTTCCATGGCAAATATTTATTTAATCTTTAATTTACCCCCTTATTCTAGAACGCGAATTTTCGTAATTCGTAATTCGTAGATACGCTACAAAAAACGAAGAATCCACATGCTGCAACCCTAGAGGAAACATGTGCAGCATTGCCAGCTATCAGTAGTTTTTCGAAGATAGCTGAATGAAGCAAAAACAAAGAATTAAAAAAACACTCATCTTTGCTTTTTTATTGCAAAACTGGTTAATTTTACATATTTTGAGGAAACTTATGGATTCTGATTCATTTGCAATTATAGCAGTGGAGTAAGAGGGCGCTATGGCAATGGATTCACAAAGGTATGCGGAGCTGTCGGGCATAGTAACCATGGACGCATCTATAGCTACGTGTATTGCTACGTTTATGCGTAGGCTAATTTCGCATTTATTTATTTCTTACAGCCTTATTAAGCTTAGCTTATACATATTCCTTATAGCCTAAACTAAAATACAAAGTAAAAGCTACGTATATGGATCGCCCAATATTAGTGACTGACAATGTTGCTGACTTCCAAATCATGTCAAAGCAATGATTGTACGATTCGGCCGCGGTGTAATGACCGATTATGCATGTGGATAAAGTGCGCAACAAGCATCCAAACGGCAATGCACTTATTCGATCTACTGATGCGCTTTGGGATGAGCTGCGGCCACTTTTCAGATGCTTATGGGAACAGTATACTTATGTTGGCGTGGTGCAACAGTATACGTTGTACGTATGCATTGCGATGGATATTCCAGACGCCTGTTAATGCAGCACTAAATTGGAAGCGTCCTGCAATAATGGTACAATTTTTGTTTAAACTCATTTATATTGCTACATTTAATATCCTTTGGCAGTTCATTATAATATTTTAACCCTTTGTGATACAAGTTGCATTTATCAGCTTCAGTTTTATAGGAAGGTAGATTGAAATCATTTTTGCTTCGAGTATTCTTGGAGTGTACATTATTGACATACTTAATGTTACTCTTCAAATATGCATATTAACAGGTCTATTCTGCGCTGGTAATAAACAGTTTGTAACCGGTAATTAAAGTTCCTGTCAAT